AACTTAGAAATCTAAGAAACTAAGCAAAAGAAGTAAGTAAATAGGGCATGTATATGTATGAAATTATGAGCTTAACAACTAACCAAGTAAATTATCTTGCAAAACAGAGCATGAATATGTGACAACCTACGTACTCATAAGTATTTGTCAAGCTATGACTCCCCCACTGCTAGCAACAACTATTGTGACCTAAGTGTGTGCTCTAATCCAAACATATAGAGGAACGCAATCCAATAGACATCAAGTATAAATAAAAGGAACTTTGTAGAAACATGGATTCAATCACATATTCATCAAGCAAGACACAAGAACATGGTTACCCAGAAACCCACCACTCGGAAAAATTGGGGGTCATCAATCCGACCAAGCAATCCACTATGTTCAAAAGGAATTCAATACAAAGGCACCCATACAAGCTCAAAATCACCTAGACTCTCTCTAAGTGGTAGCTTATACCTCAGAGCAACTCCACTCACTTGGGATCAAATGCACCTCAACTGGTTCTTCATGAGAATGGCAGCTAGCTCTTCTAGGTCTTCATCTTCATGGCATCCTTTATCGCCGTACAACTCCTCACTTGAACCATAGTAGTACATCAACACTAGTCTTCAGTATGAGAAAATATAGATTCACACAACAATATCAATCTCTTCAAGATTGATAGCCCCCAAAATTCTTCCTGAATAAAAATTGACTAAAGTGCCCCTACACCCAAGGGCAAAAATGTAATTTCACAATAAATAATTAATTGAACAATCATTTTTGGGACAGGGTGTTACATACTATCACTCTCTATCTTTATTCTTTCTCGGGTTGTAAACTTAAATCTTTAGTTGCTATGGTTGCTCGTTTGAGTTGGGTAGAGGCCGTGAGGCCCATTTCCTTAATTTTAGCTATTGTGTGTGCCATTCCCTTGTGCATGCTGGAAATTGGGGTTATTTATGTACTTGTTTGCAAGTATTGAAATTTGGGAATTGTTTCAACTATAGGGGAGACTCTACCGAAATTTTGGCAGAAGTCGAACTGTTTATCTGTTTAAATTAGGGCTACAAGACTTTTTAGTAAAGTGGGTCCGGCATCGGGTAGATGTCGAACGGGAAGCAAGGTTCGTCATAGGTTCCAAGGGGGAATTCGGGTCGGGTCCTGTCACTTTGTAGCCAGAGGTAAGCCAAACCCCAAGTGAGGATTAATCCCACCCTTCAGGTATGAGGACACCTCGTAGTATATACAAAAAAAACAAAACAAAACAAAACAGTCTTTAAAGCATGTGTCTCTTTTTTATTTTTTATTTGAACTTTAACGTATTAGTTTACATTTTCATCATTTTTTTCTCATTTTGAATCAAACTTCTTTTGGCTCCTCCTCATTTATTTTCGCTCCTTTTTAATGAAATTGTCAACTTCTTCTTATTTGATCTGCATCCTCTCATTTACTTTTTGATTATTTTTGCTCCTTTTTAATGTAACCTCCAACCTATTTTCTTATTTATTTATTTATATCATTTTCTTCCCTCTTTTTTATTAATTCTGCTGCTACTCATTTATACATTTCATTACTCTCTCCTTTTGGATCCTCCCTTTTAATTTTTCATCAGTTTCTCTCCCGTTTAAGTTTATGCATGCACAATGTAACTGATCCAATAGAGAGAGCCATCATTTTCCATCTAATTAGCATAAGGCCAAAGACCAAAAAGTAGTACCTAATTGTACAATAATGTAATTAAAAGTTATCAAAATTACACACTAATTTTACAATAATATAATTAAAAGTAGTACCGGCAAGTCCCTTTCTGGCCAGCGGCCACCACCGTCGGCCAGCTACCGCCACCGCCACAGCTAGCTGCCGTCGCAGCCTATCGTTGGCCAACTGCCGCCGCCCATTGTCAGCCAACCGCGAGGACCAACTCAGCTACCCTTCATCCTTAAAAAATAGAAGATTTTGTGTCGTTGAAGGGACTCAAACCTTGACCCTCAAAGGAGGAAACCTCACTCACAAACCACTAACAAAAAAAAACAAACAAACAAACAAAACAAAATTGCACTGCTGAGTATGAGAAAAAATAAACATATTAATAAATGAGGAACCAAAATGCAAAACTATGATGAAAGTACTAAAACAGAAACTTCTTCTTACTTGATAGATCTGCATCCTCTCATTTACTTTTTGATCATTTTTGCTCCTTTTTAATGTAACTACCAACCTATTTTCTTCATAGATATAATCCTCTCATTTATTTATTTTTATCATTTTCTTCCCTCTTTTTTTATCAATTCAGCTGCTACTCATTTATACATTTTCATTACTCTCTCCTTTTGGATCCTCTCTTTTAATTTTTCATCATTTTCTCTCCCTTTTAAGTTTATGCATGCACAATGGAACTGATCCAATAGAGAGAGAGAGCCAACTTTCTCTCAAAAAACCAAAATCCAATAGTCAACTTTTATTTAATTTTCTTTTTTTGAACTTATCATTCTCACTCCTCTTTTTTTTTAAATTTCCGCAACGTCTATCTCTTTTGGGTGGGGGTAGTTAGGCTGGGGTGTTTGGATAAGCTTGGCCCCAAGGGTACACCAAAATCTGGAACTCACAGTACTCACACACACAACTTATTATTATTTTTAATTCATGATTTTAACATGTATTCTTGATATATATTATTGACATTATCAAGGCATTCTCGTTACATTTTTGCATTACGTATTGTACTATATGTAGCATATCTTTGTTTTGCATTAACCAACGTATTGATTTTCTTTTTCAGTTCTATTACCGAAGAATATGAGAAAGAATTGGGAAGGCTTTCCTCTAGGCTGACGTGGATAATGCTTGCCTCATTAGGTATATCCAAGGAAGATGTCAAATGGCCTGGCCCCAAAGGTGATAACCAAGAGGCACATGTCCTCCAGTTGAATTCTTACCCTGCTTGTCCTCATCCTGATCGGGCCATGGGTCTTGTTCCCCATACTGATTCAACCCTTGTCTCCATTATCCACCAAAGTAAGATCTGTGGCTTGCAAGTTTTCCAAGAGGGCACCGGCTGGTTTCGGGTTCCACCGGTTCCCGGCGCTATGGTAGTCAACGTCGGTGACCTCATGCACATATTATCTAACGGGTCGTATGTGAGTGTCCTCCATCGGGTACTGGTGAACCAAACTCAGCACCGTCTGTCAGTTGTTTATAATTATGGACCACCAGACAATGTTCCAATCTCACCCATACCAAAACTACTAAGCGCAAGCCACCCTGCCCTCTACCCACCCGTCACCAATTGGAGTGAGTACGTTGACACCAAGGCAAAGCTCAAGGGCAAGGCACTTGCATCACTCCGGCTTTATGAGCCTCTTACAAAATTGATCGTTTTGTTTCGGAGGTCTGAATGATACAGACAGTAAGAATAAAAGTAATTACCATATCAAATAACATCTTCCATTGTCAAAATGTCACGTGCATTTTGCTTATATGTGAAGTTTGTTGTGAAAATTGGCTCGCATAAAGGACACAAGCTACGGAGACAGAACAGGAAGCGACCGATCGCCAGATTCATGCGACCGGTTGCCGAAGACTCTGTCTGAAAAGCGACCGGTCGCACAATGCAAGCGACCGGTCGTTTTTAGGCAGGTTCGAAGTCTGGAGCAAAATCTTCTGGTGACCAGTCGCTTACGATTCTGCCAAAAAGCGACCGGTCGCTCAACATGTGCTGTTTCGGATTTTCTCGAGTTCTCAACTCTATTTTCAAGGGCTATCGCCTCCCACCTACTTGCAAGGACCCTAGGGGTCACTTCTGAGTCAGAAGAAGTTTGGCAATCAGTTGGGAGGTTTGAGGGAGCATTGAAGGACATTTGTTAACTTGTTACAAGGTGTAGCTACCCTATGATTCTATATATATAGGGTGGCTGGACATGTAGCCATTAATACATAGCTTGTGGCTGGCCTAACCTGTGGTCCATGTCAGGTATTTAAGGGCAGAACGTGGGAGACAAAGCAAGGGTCTCCTCTCAAGTCTAAAGGCTTGTGTATTAAAGGAAAGAGGGAGCAAGTCTGCAAAACAAGTTAGAGAGAGTTGGAAGAGAAGTAGCTGGAAACTAGTGAGTCAAGTAGAAGAGAGAATTCTCAAGTGTATCAAGGTGTGAGCAAGGGTGTGAGAGAAACAGATTGTGAGGGTAGTGTTCTAAGGGGGTTTCTGTGTAAACCAAAGTTGTAACCTATCTTCATTAGTGAAATTTCTCAAGGGGATCACCAAAGAGGATGTAGGGAAATTGCTGAACCTCTATAAACACTTGTGTCATTTGTGCTTGGGTAATTTTCTCTGTGTGTGTGTAAGACTCATCCATCATTGAGTCTTGTCCAAAGTCCATCAACAACAAGATCTAAAGAGGAGTGAGTTGGTTCTAATTCACAACAAAGTTTATATTGGCCGCCAGTGCCCAAGGACCTTGTTATGAAAGATATGGTGGGAAAATTGTCCAATTTGAAATATTCCAGTAATTGGAGCAAAAAACCAGCATCTTTGCCTCGAAAGACATGATTTAAGATAGATAAATAAAAAACTAACAATATAATTAGGTGGAGTTTCAAAATTGAACATTTTATAAACAGAACCTTTATAATATGACATTTTATATATTAAAAAAAACCCTTCAAGTCCAATACTTAAGAAAAACTCTATGCTATACTTTCAAGTTTCAAGTGAAAAAATTGTAACGCATTAAAAATCAATTAGAAAATGACAAGCAGTTAATTGAGGGCTTTTTTCTCCACATATACTCTTTAAGGGTTTTAGTATAAAATGTCATGTTAGAATAGGTCTATTTGTGAAAATCCCATCAAAATTTATGAAAAGAGTATTAAAATTCAATGGCTCTAGAAGTCTTAGAAGAAGACACAAGCAAACATGAGAATAGGAGAAACCAAATATGAGAATAGGATAAAATAACAGTTCCTAGTCCTCAACGTTCCCAAACACATAATTGAACATCCTCCATTCCCATCTCGTGAGATTAGACATGAGAATTTCATTCCCATGAAGTTCAATATGCAAATGAAATGGACACTTAAATGGATATGATTCAGATTTATTTAGACTTGAAAAAATAAAAATCCCATTATAAACTTGTACCTTTTATTTTAGTAAAGAAACTCTTTACACACTACACCATTCTCCAAAAAAGCAAACATACATAAGAAGTAAAATTTATATTATATATTGAATTAGATCATCATTGGAAAAGATCAATTTAAAATTGATTTAATTTGTTAAGTTGATGTATTATTGGATTCGAATCATAATTAAAGAGTGCTGCTAAATGAACCCTAAAATTAACTGAGTATACCCTACTACCAAACTATTTATTGAATTACTAATTTACCCTAATATGAAATGACCAAAAAAGATATATTGAATTGTGAAACAAATATAATTTTAATAAGTACACCCTACTTGCCACATATTCAACCATAATCAAACAGCAAGCACTGGCGGAGGGGGCAAGGAGGTGTCATTGAATGTTCGAAGGTCCTACGTTGAACTTGAATTGATTCTTGCGTTGAGTTATTGTCTTGCCTTGAAACTTGTAAGAGGCTATTTCTCTGTTCTATTTATCTACTAAACTTGAATTATTGTCTTGCCTCCACGATTCCTTATTGTAGATGATGGTTGGCAACATATTGAAAATAAAGACAAGGATACTGATGTTGTACAAGAAACATGAAGATCATTTTCTAGAGACGTGGTTGTGGTTGCAATTGAGGTGATATTTTGTTTGGTTCAATTAATTTTGTGGTTTTTGTGCAGGTAAGACTTTGGCGTTTGAGGTATACAAGCTATTAGTTGAATAAAACTTTTTGGCATTTGGTTTCTTTTACTTTGTGGTTGCGGGAGGGACTGACTATTGGTGGGATATGTTTCTATTTTTTCCTTACAAAGGCTTTTGATTTTGTTTCTTTACTTTGTGTGATAGAGTGTATTAAGGTGTACGAATGATATTTTTGGTAGTTACATAGGGTGTACTTAGTTAATTTTGCATTTTGATTAAAATATTATGGTATACTTAGATCATAGGGTGTATTCAATTAATTTTAAGATTTATTTAGCAGCATTCTAATTAAATTATGAGATTAAAAACTTCAATATCTATATCTTATTAATTACACCAGATTAAGATTCTGATTCATGATCATGAACGAAATAGTTAGAATTATTTTTTTTTCTCTCTCTCTCGTATTCAATACGTCTAAAAAGAAAATAAAAGATCATCCGGTCTGAATCTCTCTTTCTCACTCTGACTCTCGTATTCAATACGTCTAATAAGAAAATAAAAGATCATCCGGTCTGAATCTCTCTTTCTCACTCTGACTCTCGTATTCAATACGTCTAATAAGAAAATAAAAGATCATCCGGTCAAATTCAGATACCCAATATTGATTTAAGCAATAGTTTAAATTAATAATCCATAGCAGTCCTTCTAGAACATTTGAAAATAGAGAGCATCATTAACAACCTCTCTCTATCTTCCTCTTGTCTTTGTACTTGGCTTTGTTCTCTCTTTCTCTCTCTCTGGAAGAACAAAGACTTTTCTAACATTTTTGAATTTGATATGTTCGCTGTCGCCACCCAATACGACTTCTTCCTCATTTATTGTAATAGCCGCCCTTCCTCTAACTCTATAATGCTTAACATGCCTTTGACCTTTTACAATTCATTAGTCTCTTTCAAATTGTATCACACGCTTCATCTTCAACCTCCATTGAAGCACAGCTATAACACCATGACCATCCACCTCTACATGTAAAATGCCGAGGTCTGCAAGCGAGTAAGCTCAACCAAAGCTCATCTGACTCTCACTCTCAAGTTTTGCATGTACAATATCTGCATATCTAGCTGACTAGTGAGTTGGGTTCCTGTTCTTGCACATATCTGTTGTACTGATTTCTGGGTTTGTTTTGTTTTCTCGATTTGGTTGCTGTTGTTGTAATATATTGTGATTTTGTTTGGATTTGGCATCTGGGTATTTCTTGAATTTCATGATTGTTGACTGAATGCTGTTCAAGAGGCCTCTGATCTGATCTTCTTCAGATTATGACCTCAAAGCGGCCTCTTTTGATCCCATCTCCAAGAACCCCAAATACGCAAGAGCTCCCTACTTTACCTGTCTTTTCTGATTTTGTAAATCCCAGTTCCGGTCACTCTGGATCGTTTTCTGGGATGGATTCTAAAAACCCAGCTGAGAATTCCCTCAACATTGAACCCGCCTTCAATTCTTCCTCACAGAGAAGCATTTCTTCGATTCATTCCAGGGCTTCTGGCACGAATTCTGTCCGGGAAGTGAGTTTTGGTGATGTCGGATCAAAACCTGTACGGTATGGATCGAGAGGAGCTGATTCTGAAGGGTTCAGCATGTCCCAAAAGGAGATGAATGAAGATGATGTAAGGAACATTTATATAGATGATCTTAGTAAGACACACGAGAGGTTTGAGTTTTCTGGAAATTCAATAAGGACGGCAAAGTACTCAATTATCACTTTTTTGCCAAGAAATTTGTTTGAACAGTTTCATAGGGTAGCATACATATATTTTCTTGTGATTGCTGTGCTCAATCAGCTCCCCCAGCTGGCGGTTTTTGGTCGGGGAGTTTCTATTTTGCCACTGGCATTTGTCTTGCTCGTTACTGCAGTTAAGGATGTCTATGAGGACTATAGGCGGCATAGGTCTGACCGAATTGAGAACAATCGGTTGGCATCAGTTTTGGTTAATAATCAGTTTCAATTAAAAAAGTGGAAGGGTATCCGAGTTGGTGAAATCATCAAAATTGAAGCAGGTGAAGCTATTCCTTGTGATATGGTACTGCTCTCGACGAGTGACCCAACTGGGGTTGCTTATGTGCAAACTATCAATTTAGATGGGGAATCAAATTTGAAGACCCGGTATGCAAAACAAGAAACCCTCTCCAGGTTGCCTGAAAAGGAGAAGATTACCGGGTTGATTAAGTGTGAAAACCCCAATAGAAATATATATGGTTTTCACGGATTCATGGAAATTGATGGCAGGAGACTGTCATTAGGACCCTCCAACATTGTACTTCGAGGCTGTGAGCTCAAGAATACTCGTTGGGTCCTCGGGGTTGCTGTTTATGCTGGTCGTGAGACCAAAGTTATGCTGAATAGCTCTGGAGCCCCATCCAAGAGGAGTCGTCTCGAGACCCGTATGAACATAGAGATCATCATACTCTCGGGGTTTCTTGTTTCTTTGTGTACAGTTGTGTCTCTGTGTGCTGCTGTTTGGTTGAGACGCCACAATGATAAGTTGGATGACATACTCTTCTACAGGAAGAAGGACTACTATGAGGGGAAAGTGGACAATTATAAGTACTATGGATGGGGTTTAGAGATTCTTTTCGCATTCC